GGCTAATCTTGCCACGTTGAAAGCAAACTCCATAACAAGTTTCTTCAATGCCCATCTTCCTCTCAGACATAATTGGTGCTGCCAGGAGCAGACATTTCTCATTGTCAAGAAAACCCCTAAACCATTTAAATGCCATTTTCTGAAGGTCTTTGAAAGGTTTGAAGACTATCTATCTATCTCAAATATATCTCTGTATATCTAGAAAACCTAACTAACCTAACTGTAAGTTCTGACTATTATAAGTAACTACCTATAGTCTGTATTCAATTATGCATTATGTTTTAAAAGATCAGTATAAAGCTGGGCATTGGTGGTGCACGCCTTTAATTCCAGCACTCGGGAGGCAGAGGCAGGTGGATCTCTGAGTTCAAGGCCAGCCTGGTCTACAGAGCGAGTTCCAGAACAGCCTCCAAAACACAATACAGAGAAACCCTGTCTTGAAAAACCAAAAAAAAATCAGTATAAGCATAATACTTAATCAAGAGGAGAAATATACACATCACAAAATTGACCTTGAATTTGTATCAATAAATGAAAAACCATAAAAATACAAAGTACTCATTTCCATACCATAATCCCCTTTTTCCTTTAAAAAGAGATTGGTTGTGATCATTAACCAATTATAAGCAACCCCATTCAAATGAAAACAAAGATTCATAAGCAATATGGGGATTTGAACATCGCTCATTCCAAACTGCTTCCTGCTGGATGGGGGCGCTGTTCATACCATGGGTATCATGACAAAACTCAGAAACCTGTATAAGTCCTTATTTTCGGGGTCTGTAAGGCTGTATCATCTTAGCTGTCTCAATTTCTGGAGCACATGGCCCACTGCTTCTGGGGGTCTTGGTTCATCAAACCATAGAAGCCTGGAAGGAATCCTCAGCTTTCCATTTTCTGTAGAAACATAAACAAAAACTCTTATCCCAAGTAACCAGTCCTTATATTTAAAGTTAGAAGTCAAAGCATTTTTGAAATATATAAGTTGGATTAATTCAGCAGCATTTATAATCAAGTATACTTTAGCAGCTTTTCCTTCTTTAGCAATCAAAAAACTGAAAAACACAATAGCATACAGTATTCAGTATCTCTCTCTGGTAAATAAATATATTGTATCCCTATTGCATTGACTATCATCCATAGTGTGACTTTTTTTTTTTTTTTTTTCAAGACAGGGTTTCTCTGTGGCTTTGGAGGCTGTCCTGGAACTCGCTTGGTAGTCCAGGCTGGTCTCGAACTTACAGAGATCCGCCTGCCTCTGCCTCCCGAGTGCTGGGATTAAAGGCGTGCGCCACCAACGCCCGGCTCATAGTGTGACTTTGTGGTATTCCTTGACTCCCTACTGCTGGATGCCTTTCCCTTCGAGCTGCAACTCTTGCTTTGGAGATACCTTTCCCCTCAGAACTTTAACACTTACACAGACCACACAGCAAAACCTTGCATTAAAATACAAAAATAGTGCTGGAGAGATGGCTCAGTGGTTAAAAGCACTTGCTGCTCTGGCTGAGGACTCAGGTTCTGCCCCCAGCACTCACACGGTGGCTCACAACCATCCGTAGTTGTGATTCCAGGGGATCTGACACCCTCTTCTGACCTTCACAGGCAACAAGGCACACACAGGATGCCCAGGCATCACACAAGCAAAAGACTCATAAAATAGAAGCAGTATTGGTTGCACATGCACACACACACACATCACAACTTACTGAACATAGTAAGTGAACATAGTTTGTTATCTGTTCCACATAGAAACTAACAAAGGGGCTAGAATACATCTAATTACCACATATGAAGATTCTAGGATATCAATAATACCAAAGGAAGAAACTATCAGCATGCAGACCAATATGCATTAAATAAATGATAGTAAAAATCTACTTGGCCCCACCCCACTAAGTCTTTTTTGGTGTTTTGGTTTTATTTGTTTTTTTTTTTTTCTGTTTTTTCGTGACAGGGTTTCTCTGTGTAGCTTTGGAGCCTGTCCTGGAAATGGTTCTTGTAGACCAGGCTGGTCTAGAACTCACAGAGATCCGCCTGCCTCTGCCTCCCGAGTGCTGGGATTAAAGGCGTGCGCCAACACTGCCCCACCCCCACAAAGTCTTACACAACAGCAGTTTCTCCAATGAGCTCTACCATTATCTTTTTAATTCATGTGATAAAATTGGCATGCAAATGCAAACATACAGCTTTGGTGGCCAATGCACAATGACACTGCTTGTGTTGCAATCAAGGCATACCACTGAGTCAGGAAGCCTCCGTGTGCCTCCGGGAACACAGTTCCACACTGCCCTCAATGACGGGTCAGTTATAACGGTTATGTCATTACTCCTGTGCCTTTTCTCATGGTTCTAGTTCTCCAGCGTGCTTCCCGGGGTGCTACCCCCGCCCCGGTCTAGAAGGACTGTTTTGTACCTGATGCACCTTTAGAGCCACGGCTACACTGAGCCCAGTCCATTGCATGTCCACTGTGGAAGAGCTGGCCCTGACCTGAGGTCTCCTGTAGTCTGGGCTCTGTGAGCTTTGCCCCTCCGCACCCTCAGCTTCCTACACATCCACTGCTGGACTTAGGCTCCGAGCTCTGTCGACAAGAGAATTAATGCTGCACCGAGAGACATAACACCAGATGGCCACCTTTTGTGACAATGCAGGCAGTTGACCTAGAGAGTAATTCATTTGGGTTGGAAGTGCAGTCTCATAATTCCATGCATTCTTTCAGTCACAGCTGGGAAGGCTGGTAAAGATTTTGGAGGCTGGGACCAAGGATGTAGCTCAGTGGTAGAGACTTTATCTTGTATGTGTAAGGTTTGATCTCCATGACTTCAGAGAGGAGGAAGAGAGAACAAGAATTGTGGAGACTCCACGGCTAAGCACTGAGCTGAACTCAAGAAATCCAGTGACAGAGAGGGAGGACTGATGAGCAAAGGGCTTAAGACTGGGCTGGTTTAACTCCCAGAAACAGCTGACCTGACAAGGATTAGCTCTTGAATCCCAGACTTATGGCTGGGAATCCAGCATGGGACTGATCATGACCCCCTGAATGTGGGTGTCAATGAGGAGGCCTAGGGAATCTATTGAGCCTTGGGTAGTAGATCAGTATTTATCCCAGGTATACAAATGGACTTTGGGCTCCCATCCAACAATGAGAGATGCACTCTCACCCTGGACTCTTGAGGGAGGGTCTAGGCCCTACCCTGAATGAAATGACAGGCTATGGACACCCTCATGGAGGGCCTCACCTTCCCTGGGGAAATGAGGGGATATTGGGGGGGGGGTTGGTGGGAGGGCGTGGGAGGAGGGAAGGGAAACGGAGAGGGACCTGGAAGTGACATGTGAAACAACCTTGTTTCTAATTTAAATTTAAATTTAAAAATAAAAATATTTTAAAAAAGAATTGTGGAGAAGGAATAATATTAGGACTTACTTCACTTTAGAGGTGTTAGAGAATTTTTTATTATCCTTGATGTAGATTAGAGAACCTGGGTATATCATATTGTGTCTCTACCCACCAAGAAGTTAAATTAATCCCACCACTCAGGAAGCAGGGACAGGCAGATCTCTGTGAGCTCCAGACCAGGCAGGGCTACATAGTGAGGTTCCGTACCCACCCCACCCCCATATACAAACCAAACAACACAGAAATAAACAGAAATCAAATTCATTTTACATTAAGTCTGATTTGGCAGTAAGATTGTTTTGGTTTTTTTAAAGATAGGGTGTCATGGAATCCTGGTCGACCTCCAGCTTGCCAAGGCTGACCTTGAATTTCTAGTTTTCCTGTCTTCACTTTCCAAACACAGATTACAAGTGTACACCACTGAGACCAGTTTTAGAAGGCATCAGGGATCAAACCCACAGCTTCACACCATCTAGGCAAACACTCTACCAACTGAGATACACCTTCTGACTGACTGTGACTTATTTTAGATAAACAGAATGTGATAGAAGCAAAGTTTCCAACTTCTGAAACTGTTGAGAGTCTGGCAGCTTCTGCTTCTATTTGCCTGGACCACTGCCCTAAGGCCAGTTGCTGGAAGATGAGAACCCTTTACCAGGAAGCAGAGACACCCTGTTCCATACCCTCGGGCAACTATTCCCCATGGGGCAAGACCGTCAGGGGTATGGTGGTCCCGGTAGGGCTGCCACACAGAAGAGCACAGACCTGCACCCCCACTGGAGCAGCAAGAATTGCCCAACTCACCTTTACAGCTGCATATTGTCACTCGCAGGAATCATCTGTCACAGTGAGCACTTATCCATGCATTGCTCCTAGGAGAAAGACAGGCTTGGGTCCCAATAAGCTTCTGCTGAAAATAGTCTCATCAGCCAGCCGTCATATTCAGCAGCCTGTGTGTGTGCACTCTGGTGAATGGTCGCAGCATTCACAGGCAACAGCATTCTAGGTATCTGAGGGAAACTGTTCCAGTACACTCCTTTTTCTTCATAAGGCCCATCACGTCTTGCCCTTAAGAACCATGGCAGTCCGATTCATCACTGCTATACCTGAGAGGAACGATTCAAGGTGAGTAATTATTCATGTGGGGCTCCAGTCTTTGAGGGTTCGGCCTAAGATGGCGGGAGAGGCACGGTGGAGCGGCTCACATTGTGGCAGTGTGCGGCAAACACTGGGAACGTAGGAGGGAGTCAGGGGAAGGTAAGGTTCTCAAGGACACACCCTCCATGACACATCTCCTCCAGCTAGGTTCCATTTTTCCCCACCTCCCAACAAACGCCATCATATTATGGATGAATTTCTGGCCCTCATGATCTAATTGTCTCTGGTCTTGCTCCTCAGAAATTAAGGTTTGCTTCATTTCCTAGGGATCTATTAGTTCAAGCAAGAGTAATGTCCCCATGCTAAGCAACATTTCAACAAGGTGGTCGGGACCTTCAAAACCATACAGTCATCAGCAAAATCTACAAAAAAATTCCCCAGATAAATGGGGGCCCGTTTCTCTTTAGTGTATGCTATAAGCAGCCAAATATATCCACATAGACAAAACTCCAGAACATATGAGACACATTTATTCAGTTTACATCTAAAACCTGTCCTCTCCAAAACTGCATCAACACAACTTCAGATGGCCCTGGATGTGGCTGGCTGCTAGGGTACGGAGGGAGAGGGTACCAGTCAGGACCACTCCCAGGAGCTTTGTGCCGCAAAAGTTTGGTCCTCACGGATGGATTCCCACTGGGGCTCAGGGGAATTGCTGCCAACCACAACTGAGCCAGATGTAGAAGTCCCAGGCTCACAGCTCTGCGGAAATGTGCTGTGCCCCCCACCCCTCCCCCGTCTCTTTCTTTGTGAGTGATCACGGGACTTGCTGGTATGTACAGCAGAATCTCAGGTAAGAACTATTAAACTGGTGAGGTCTAGTGGCTATTTAATACTGATGATATCTCTCCTCTGTAGATGTTCTCCAAGACCTCCACAAGGTTTCTCCCTCCACCTCGGTGGTCAGATGGTCCTCAGTCTGGAAGCGTCTCACTCTTCTTCGCTCCAGGCAAAGCATAGCCCTTGTACAGTGGCAATTGGGGCAGACAGAGGAGCAGGGCACCAGCTCAGGACATTTTGCAAGCCCCAAACTCCCTGTCATGTTCCACTGAGGCAATGGGTTCCGAGCAGAATTTGAAGAAAGGGAAAGAAGGTCACAGAAGAAGCCTCGTGGGGGCTCAGAAACAAGATGACAGCGGGCTGTGGGGATCACAAGGCCACCAGCATGCCCAGGTAAAGCACCAGGCACGAGCTTAAGATGAGGAAGCCCGATGAGTTCCAACCTGAAGCTCGACTCAGTTCTTTAACGATCCAGTCTTTGTAGTAACTCACTTCCGTATAAACTCCAGGAAGTCCTCCTCGGCCACAGCCGATGCCCCAGCTCACGATCCCCACCTGAACCCATGTTCCATTGAATTCGCACACCAAGGGCCCCCCAGAATCTCCCTGGAGAAAGAGAAAAAATGACAGGAACGAAATGAATTTGTGGCACAACAGGTTCCACCCCAACCCACTGGAGAGATTGATACAAACCAAACATGCACCTGTTAGTCCTAAATTTCTATGAGAGTCTGGAATTAAATTTGTTTTTAAACAAATGAACAGTTCTATCTAGTAAAACAGGTTAACCAGGAGCTGGAGAGATGGCTCAGAGGTCAAGAGCACTGGCTGCTCTTCTAGAGGTCCTGAGTTCAATTCCCAGCAACCACACAGTGGCTCACAACCACCTCTAATGGAATCTGATGCCTTCTTCTGGCATAAATGTGTACATGCAGATAGGGCATTCATACATAAAATAAATGAATAAAGCTTTTAAAAGATAGATTAACTGAACATAAACCAACATAATGTTTCTTTTCTGAAAAGAGTACATCACTTACCCCAAAAGCATGGGATGTCGCACAGAAGGGGTGAAAACGCCGAGTCTGTGTTATTGCCTCCCTGATTCACCCCACCCCCAGTCACTGAAGACAGCATTAGCTGTTTTCTCCTGGAGGATCCTGTCAGGCTAGCCCAGGAGCTGTGGTGGTTTGTTCTGACAGGCCAACAGCTTCAATAACAGTAAATAGAGGATCAGGGGCACAGCCCAGGCCCTAATGTCTGGGCGTTAGGAACTTCTGAGGAGAGGCTCGCAGGGCAGGGTAGCAAGCGACCCATGAACTGACCTGGCAGGAGTCTCCTCCTTCCTTACTATAGCCACAGACCACTCCTTCCTGGACTACTGTAAATATTTTTCCTGCATTGTCCTTGAAAAGCTGATTACATTCCTCATGACGAATAATGCTTAGCTCAACTTCTCGAAGTACTCTTGATGATCTACCTACATGGAGATAATTTTGGAGAGAGCAGATCTCCGTTAAGTAGGAATGACATGAGTCAGTTGTAGCTCCTCTGGGTCTCAATATTGTGTTCACACACAGGTACCCTCAAAGAAACCATCTGTTATTCACATCTGGCACTGACGGAAATGAGGCTCAACCTTGCCGAGAATGTAAGACGATGGAAAGTCCGAACCAAGGAAGTAGAAGAAAAAATAGCCCAAGAGAGGACAAAATCTTGTCAGTCTGAGAGGTGACAACAAGCATGTGACATGTTATCGCTAATACTAGTGATTGTGTCTCATGTATCAGGAAAGCATCTTGCTATGGCACGATCATAAACTCTCAGAAAGCTAACACCTTCAAAATACCAATCTACATTATTCCCAGTAATAGGAGACCCTAGAGCAGTGGTTCTCAAACTTCCTGATGCTGCAACCCTTTAATACACTTCCTCGTGTTGTGCTGACCCTCCCCAACCATGAAATAATTTTCATTGCTACTTCATAACTGCAATTGTGCTACTGTTATGAATCATAATGTAAATATCTTTGTTTTCAAATGGTCTTAGGCGACCCCTATGAAAGGGTCATTCAGTTCCCCAAAGGGATCGAAACCCATAGTTTGAGAATCACTGCCCTACAGACTCACTGAGTTTCCTGGCCTCTCCTCGCATACAAGAAGCTCTCTACCTACCAAGAGAGGTACTTCTAGCTTACAGACAGGTCATGCCACCATGAGCAAAAGTCCACCCTAGCGAGTATCCACCACGTTTGGTACCTAAGTCCTCAAGTCCAGACAAACCTATAGAAATCCACCAATAGTTGCTCCCTGGGAACACCTTCTCTCTTCCCCTCCCTTATCCACGTGCTACAAACTCTGGCTCCTTGTCCCTCCCTTTAGTTTGAAGACCAACCCCAGGCTATGAAGTAGTCTGTCTATAGTTGCTGAAGTCTCACTTTAGGCTCACCTCCTTCAATTACTCTGCCCCATCCGGTCACCCAGCACCGGGTCCCAGCTGCTACCATGAGAGTCTTGTGAGGGAGGCACACCGGCTGGATGTAGCCACTGTAATTCACGGGGAAGGCCAGCAGGGCAAGCGCAATGTCATGCACGATTGTTCTCATAACAGAGAAATCCCGGTGAACAATGATGTCTTGGACTGGAATTTCCACTGCCTTATCGGCCAACAGGTCAACCATTCCCATCGACACTTGGTAATCCAGATGGCTGCAAAGAGATCCTGAAGGGTCTACACGTTTCCCCTCCGCACAGTGACGGTGCTCCCCAATCCAGTCCCATCCTCCCGAGGCAGTCACCGGCTACCTCCCTCTGTTCTAACCATATTCCCTCCAGGACCCCTGACCGCCCCATCCAGCTACCGGTTGGTTCTCTGATCACTGTCACTGTCACTTGGAATTGTGTTAGAAATCCAAATGTTCAGGTGTCAGCTGAAACCGAACTTTAAAAAGCAAACAAACAAACAACAAAGCCTAGGATGGCCATTTCTCACCCACCCCCTATAGTTTTGAGGTGGGTTCTCTCTCACTCTGTGGCCCAGGCTGGCCTGGAACTCACTATGTAGACCAAGCTCTAACCCCCAGAAATCCTCCTGCCTTAGTCTCCTAAGTGTTGGGATTACAGGCATGAGCCACTACCACAGGCTCCTTTTTTCCCCCTCAAATAGAAAGCAAGAGGGACAGGTCATAGAACCCAGTCAGGGGCCCAAGCCCAGATCCCCGGGCACTCACTCACCCGAATACGCAGTGGGCTGCAGTCATCACCCACCACTTGCTGATGAGGGAGCCACCGCAGATGTGGCTGCTGGTGTGGCGGACTTGCAGGCTCACCTGCCAGGGCCACTTCCGCTCCGCTGCAGGCTGTCCACCAACGATCCTTGCAGTTCTGTGGCCGCAACCTGAAGCAGGTTAGTGAAGCCAGGGGCTCAAGCCAAGGGCTGTTGCTGCTCTACCTCAGCCAGGTCCTTAGAACCCAGGAACAGTGCTCTGTCCCCTCAGATCCCAGTGCAGGCGGGGAGGGCGGCGTCCTCGCAGATCTTGGGGCCCACTCAGAGCCCATACCCCACACCCAAGGACCCAAGATCCTCTCCTATACCTCAGGGTCCCATCCCCCCAGGCCCAGGCCAGCTCTCTGCGGCAGACCGTGACTCAGAAACTTCACCTGAAGTGGTTGGAATCCATGTTGGAAACCGTCCCTGTGGCAGAGTCATGGTTGAAAAAGAGTGACCGGATGTAAACGCCACCGAATCGAGGGACATCATGCTCCCCTCAGGCTGCGGGGCCCGAGAGGTCTCAGGCATCCCTGTGAGTGGCTTCTCATGTGGGCTTGCACTCGGGTCATCGAGGCCATCCTCCAAGGGGAGAGGAGGAAGAGACAGCGTCCCTGGAATCATCCGGGCCGCGCCCAGTAGTGTCTGAAGCAGCAAGAAGCAGGCCAAGAGGCCGTGAAAAGCCATACCACCAGGAAGGCCTTGGCCTCTGTCTCTGAGCCTCCTCATGGCGGTTACCGAGGCTGCGCACAGTTCTGGGAGAAACCGGTTCCATCACGCGGCTGCTTTCAAGTCTGACTTTGGTACATGGCCCCTTCACAGCTCTCGGCTCCCTCTCCTTGACCCACGGGGCAGGGCGTGACCCAGATAGTCTGAGTGACTAGCGGGGTTCCCTGGCTGCAGAGAGCAGCTGCTCAGAAGCCCCTTCTTCTGGCAGAGGCGTCCACGATAGAGGATGCACCATGGAGCTTCTCAGGCTTGACCAGGCCTTTCCCCAGATCTCCCTTCCCCAGTGAAGCGTTATCAAAAGTAAAATTTCTTAGCAGCAATGTTACCAACCATTGCATCAGGCTGGACACTGCTACCTTCTTGAAACGTCAACACCAACAAGATCTTCAAGACCCTTTAGCCATATCAGTACAAGGCAAATTAAACCCACAATGAGACATCAGTACAAGCCTATCCGGGTTCAAAAACAAACCGTAAACAACCTCAAATGCTAACAGATAAGGGGTACATGCCTAAGAGTGGAATTGCTGGATCTTGAGGTAGACTGATTCCCATTTTCCTGAGACACTGCCATACTGATTTCCAAAGTGGCCACACAAGTTTGTACTCCCACCAGCAATGGAGGAGTGTTCCCCTTTCTCCACATCCTCTCAGCACAGACTGTCATTGGTGTTTTTTATTTTAGCCATTCTGATAGGAGCAAGGTGGTGTCTCAGAGCTGTTTTGATTTGCATTTCCCTGATGGCTAACGATGTTGAACAAGTTCTTAAGTGTCTTTCAGCCATTTTATATTCCTCTATTGAGAATTCTCTATTTAGTTCTGTACCCCACTTTTTAATTGGATTATTCGGTGTCTTTGATGACTAGCTTCTTGAGTTCTTTCTATATCTTGGAAATCAGCCCTCTGTCAGATATTTTCCCATTCTGTGGGCTGCTGTTTTGTCTTGTTGGCTGTGACTGAGTCAGGGGAAGAATAGAGAAGGAGAGCAGGAAAAGAAATCCCTTAATAGAGGGAGCCAGTATAGGTTTAAAGAGAAATCTGGCACTAGGGAAATATCCAGAGATCTACAAGGATGATCCCAACTAAGAATCTAAGCAATACCTTAATGTCCTTCCCCTATAATGAGATTGCTGACTACCTTAATTGCCATCCTAGAACCTTCATCCAGTAGCTGATGAAGCAGAAGTAGACACCCACAGCTGAGCACTGAGCCATACTCCTGGAATCCAGTTGTAGAGAGGGAGGAGGGATGAGCAAAGGGGTCAAGGCTGTGCTGGAGAAACCCACAGAAACAGCTGACCTGACCAAGTGAGAGCACACAGGCCCCGGTTGTAAAACTGGGGAACCAGCATTGGACTGAACCAAGCCCTCTGAATGTGGGTGCCAGTTAGAAGGCCTGGGCAGTCTATGGGACCTCTGACAGTAGAGCCAGTATTTATCTCTAGTGCACCATGTGGGTCCCAGGGATCAAACTCATGAAGCCAGGCTTGGTAGCATACACCCTGACTGCTGAGCCATCTCATTGGTCCAGTCTATGTCTTGAAATGCAGACAAGCCACATTCTTCCAACTCTCAGGCCTACAGTATTCTAACCTGAAACCGTCGGGCCTGTAGCCATCTTCAGCTCCGATCTCTGATTCTTCATGACATCACTCTCTTCTATGTGGGTTTTCATTGTGCCATCTGAAAACTGCCCATTCATAGGAAGCCAGCGTTACCCAAGACTTTCTTCACTTGTTTCTCTTCTTTCCCAGAGTGCAGTCCTCTGGTGTCTGGCCACTTTCTTCCTTTTATTTTTTATGTGCATAAATGCTTTTCCTGCATGTATGTAAATACACCACATGCGTGTCTAGTGTCAGAGGAGGTCAGAAGAAGGCATCAGATGCCCTGGAACGGGAGATACAGATGGTTGTGAGCCTCTGTGTGGGTGCTGGGAACTGAATCTGGGTTTTCTGGAAGAACAGCCAATATTTTTAACAACAGATTCGTTTCTCTGGCCTCCTATTCCCTGAAGACCATTATGCCAAGAAAACTAACCTAGACTTAGGAAGAGAGATACTGCATGGCTGTTTCCTTTCTTCTGTAGAATCTGGGGGTGTGTGTGAGTGGGGTCATAAAGGGACCAGGAGAGAGATAAAGTAGGGAAGAGAGGGCGATGGAATACATGAAATATGAAAACAGAAGGGGACTCTTTGGGAGGTGGAAGACGGCCACCAAGAGGGGATACTGGAGCAGGCAGTGGAGCAGGGGATGGAGAAGAAAAAAGTATAATGACTAACATACATGGGGGAACATATCATGGCAGGACTTAATACTTTGTTCACTAACTAAAAATTAATTTTTAAAATTGTATAGCAGTGAAGAATGATGATGGTGCACACTTGCAGTTACAGCACTCATGAAACTGGGGTAGAAGGATTTTACTCAGGCCTAGTCTGGGCTACATGAAAATGTCTGACAGCAACAATGATGATATTGGATAATGCTAAGACTAAATTCTCAGTTTCCTAAGATTCCCAAGTTATCATCTTTTTTTTTTGTCTAAGGAAATGCCTAACTCAAAGACTGAAATTAGCTCTGGCTTTGGCAAATGTCTAAGGTGATCTAGTTAGAATCAGACTCTCCTTGGCCACAACCTTCTCTCCCCATCTTCCTTGCAGTGAGATATAGGGTTCTGGAGGCTACAGTGCACCATAGACATGATGACGAGCAAACGTGCGGAGACAGACCTCAGACAACACTGAGAACATCAGCTGTGAGTTTGAGGACAGCTCAGCAAACTGTCTACTGCTCAGTGGTCTTTAAAACTTCATCCACAGAGGCTGGAGAGATGGCTCAGAGGTTAAGAGGACTGGCTAGTCTTCTAGAGGTCCTGAGTTCAATTCCCAGCAACCACACGATGGCTCACAACCATCTGTAATGAGATCTGGTGCCCTCTTCTAGCATGGGTGCCAGAACACTGTGTGCATAATAAATAAATAAATCTTAAAACTCATCCACGTGGTACAAACACCAGGAGTCCTCCTCTTCCTCCTCACTCCTTTTTTATTTTATTTTATATGCACAGGTGCTTTTCTCTACATGTGTGTTTGTACACTACATGCCTGGTAGAGGAGAGGATGTGGAGTCCCCAGGAACTGGAGTCACAGTCAGCTGTGAGCTGCCATGTGGTTGCTGGGAATTGAACCTGGTCTTCTGGAAGATCAGCCAGTGCTCTTAATGGCTGAGCCATATCTCCAGCCCATACTCTCTTTTTATTTATTTATTTATTTAGAGGTCAGGGGCTGGGGGAGTGTTGAGATGGGAATCTTTACATAACCCTGGCTGTCTTGGAACTTGCTATGTAGACCAGGCTGGCCTCGAACTCACAGAGATCCGTCTGCCTCTGCCTCCCGAGTGCTGGGATTAAAGGTCCTTTTCTTTTCTGAAAGACAGCATCTCACTAAAAAGTTAAGGCTGGGGCTGGAGAGATGGCTAAGCAGTTAGGAGCACTGACTGCTCTTCCAGAGGACCCGGGTCCATTTCCCAGGACCCATATGACAGCTCACAACTATCTGTAACTCCAGTTCTAGGGGACCAGACACCCTCGGCAAAACACCAATGCACACCGCATAGTGTACACACACACACACTCACACACTCACATACTCACACACTCACATACTCACACACTCACACATACTCACACACACTCACACGAGTTCAGGCTGGCCTTAAACTTAAGAAAGTCTGGAACTCTCAGTCCTCCTGCCTCCACTCCCCAGGGACTGGAAATACAATCTTGAACTACCACATACAACTCTTTACTTATTTAATTCTCATGTATATTAACCCACCATGCCTGGCTTCTTATGATTTTAGTGACAAATGAGTTATTTTTCATTGTTAAGTCATATTGCCTTGTTTGTCATTAAACTTTGATAGATACTTGGGTTTTTCCAGATTCTGGTCATTGTAAATATGTAGCAGGATTTAAAAACTGCCCTGGGACTCCACCAACGCCATATGGAAAGTTATAAACAGGGCAAATGCATCTCTGTCTGCATTTTCGTATTCATGTCCTCTGTTACCTTAAACTTTGGGTCAGATTCGTTCTCAGGTCTAAAGGTAGGCTTGTCGACCACTTACGGACAGCTTATCTATAAAAAGTAAGCATTCCAGGTTTGCATAGTGCTGATTTTAATCTTCTTTCTCATGCCCCTTCAAGACTGAAGACAGTCAGATTAGAGTAACTAAGGTCTGTCAGATAACCTCTCAGTGAAATGACTTCCCTAGGCAACACCAGTTATCCCTGGGCAGGAACAAGGCTGACTGATCCTCTAAACAAAAACAGCCATCTGTTATGGGAACTAAATTGCCCAGCAAATTGCCCTCTTACTTTCCCCAGGGATGGATCTCGAAGAACCAGACCTAAAGTGAAGTCAGTCGGCCCAAGTGTGACTGAGGCTGCTTAACTAACAATGCTGTTTTAAAATTTTTAAACCGTGTGTATGAGTGTGTGTGAGTGTGTGAGTGAGTGTGAGTGTGTGAGTGTGTGAGTGTGTGAGTGAGTGTGTGTGTGAGTATGTGTGAGTGAGTGTGTGTGTGTGTGAGTGTGTGTGTGTTTGTGTAGGTGACTGCAGAGTCCAGATGGGGATGTTGGGTCTCCTGGGGCAGGAATTACAGGTGGATGTGAACTACTCAGGGTAGGTACTGGTAACTACACTCAGATCCTCTGCAAAAGCAGTGCGCGCTCCTAACTGCTGACCCATGAGTCCTAGGCCTTCAATAGCAAGTATGAATGCTATGAATACTCATAAATGTCATTCAGCTGCCATTTTACTCCCTTGTGTGGTTTATTTGCTTTCATTTTCTCAAAGGTATAGAGGTCAAAGACAACTTGCAGGAGTCACTTCTCTCCTTCTACCGTGTGTGACTGCCAGTGGTCATGTCAGAGGAGCAGGGGATGGCAACTGACTTCAGGGGATCAGCCACCAGGAAATAAAACCCTGACGGCTGAATCTTGGGTAGATAAGGTCTCAGAGCCTCCGCCCTAGAATGCTTCTTGTTATTGTTGTGTCTTTACATGTTTGCCGCTGCCATTTTTCTCTGGTGTCTGGCACGGTGTGAATGGGCACAGAGAGATCCCCACTGCCCTTGATGCAGTATGATGCGGATTATTACAAAGACAATTTCCTCCTGTGCTGTACTGTTTAACTGAAGCAATGATACAATAGTGTTAGTTTCAATAGAAGTTTGATGACTGAGGATCTAAAAAAATATAGTAAGTGATTATGATAGAGGTTAGTGTAGTGGAAAAATTAGCACAGGTAAAGGTAGGATAAAATGTTGCCCCTGCCTCTGATCAAGCAGAGGCTGCAGAGGACAAAAAATAAAGCAAGGAAGTGTCCCACAGCTAGAACACGTGAGTTTCTGTTGAGTCCCGTAGACTGTGGCTTGATGATGAAGAGAAGTGGCTGAGTCCCAGTAGCCCAGCTGGTTTAAATTCTTCTAATCTTAATGTTGGGAGATGTGTTCACAGGTTTCGGAGTGCAGCATAGCTGAAACACAAAGCTTTGAAAATAACTTAAAGTTAAACTAAGATGTTTTTCTCAAATAGCTTTGCGGTGAAAACCCAAGAAGACAATCTAAAGTTTTAGAAAGACACATAGCAGAGTGAGGGACTCCTAAGGTCAGGGATCAAAAACAAAGCAACCCCACTACTACTAGTTGACGTATGTTTCTTGCTAGGATGTGTTAATGACCAAAGGGATGACTAATTCTTTGTGCCATTTCTAACCTTAGCTTACTGATATTAAGAAAAAAACCTGTTGATGAGTGGATACGAACCCTGAGGATTTAAAATAGACTGATTCTTTTTCATAGACATAGATTTACAATTCTTCTAAGATTTCTTATAAGATTGCCTTTTGAGACAAAAAATAAAATGACTGGTCCTTCCTTTGTAACCGAAAAAATGCAACCTGCCAGCAAAAGATCTGGTTGAGAAAAATACCTTGCTTGCTCACACTCTGTTAATCTATAGCAAGTTGCTTGGACATGAATGTATGTGGGTTCTTGGGACAACTTGTTTTTCACCTGTAATACATAAAATGCTTATTCAGGTGAGGGATATGAAAAACATGCTGTTTTTTTCTCTTGTAATAACTGTAACCATTCACTTGAAAAATAGAATGTAACCACATTGTAGTTTTTTATTGCTTGAAAGATTTTGCCCAGGGTATATGAGCTGTAAGGGAAAAAAATAAAGTTCGAAGGAAAACATCAGGGATGAGAGAATGAAACCACCAGGAAAAGATAAAAACACAGAAGAAGGCTACAGAAAAGGTCAAAAGGAAACCATTGAGAGAGTGTGTGTCTTTTCCCTTACTCCCTCACGGGAAAAACGTCTGAGCTTGCCAACTCCATGGATCCCTGTCCAGCCCTGCACTGCTGGAGACTGCAGCAGTATGGGTCCCAGGTATGAAACTCAGGTCATCAGTCTTTGAAACAGGTACCTTTACCCACAGAGCTATCTTACCAGCCAGGGTTCATGCTTTTTATACCTGTGTAAAAGGTCTTTGTCTACCCAGGAGCCACAGATTTTTTTTCTGGCTTTCTTCTAGAAGTTTTATCGATTCATGGTTTATATTGAGTTTAAATTTTATTTTGAATTAACAAGAATGAAATACATTGCAAGGTGAAGAGCAGAGGCCATTTTTGTTTTTTTGAGACAGGATTTCACTGTGTAGCCCTGGCTGTCCTGGAACTCACTTTGTAGACCAGGCTGTCCTCAAGCTCACAAGTGCTGGGATTAAAGGCGTGCACCACCACCACCAGGCACAAAGGCCACTTTTCTAACACGCTTTATTTTTTGTGGTGCTAGGTATTGAACCAAAGGCCTCATGCACACTAGACAAGAACTCCACTATACTGAGGTGCACTCCTAGGCCCTCAGCATCATTTCCTAAATACAAGACTATCATTTCCCCCACTGAGTTAGTTATATTAATACTTCCATTAAAAGTATATACAGGTGTGAACCTATTTCTAGATTCCTTGTTCTGTTCCACTGATCTACATTTCTGCCCTGATGCCGGTACAACCCTGTATTATTCAGTGTATCATTTTAAAGTCGTGAAACCTGTACTGTTTGCATTTGTCATCATGCGTCCTTTGATTTTTCCATATACATTTTAAAAGGTTTATTTTATTTTTATTTGTAAATGTGTATGCACACACATGTGCAGCTGCCCTTAGTGGCCAGATACTCTGGAACTAGAGTTTCAGAAGTTTCTGAGCAGCTGAACGGGGGTGCTGGGAACCAAACTCAGGTCAGCAAACACTCTTAATCACCGAGCCATCTCTCCACATTTCATTTGTGTGTGCATAGGTCCAAGTGTGTGTGCGGGTGTGCCCATACATGTACACAAGTATGAACACGCACACGAAGAACAGAGGTCACCCTTGGGGACTGTTCCTTAGAAGCTGCTCCCTTCCTAGTTTTGAGACAGCCTCTCGGAGGGTCTGGAGTTTGCATGTTAGGCTGGCATGACTGCGTAAGAGTCCCGGAGGTCTGCTGGTCTCTGCTTCTCCAGCACGGGGATTACAAGTGCATAGCACCATGCCTGCCTGGGTATTGAACTCGGGTCCTCGTGCTTGCACGTGCGGCAGGCACTTTGCAACCCAAGTTACCGCCAGAGTCCTCCATATACATTTTAGAATCAACGTTATCAGTTTTCAGGAAGACTGGAGCTTGAAAAAAATGTGAATAAACCTGTAGGTACAACACTGCCGAATTTCAAGACTAGAAGCCACATTAACTAGGACAGAATGGAATTTTATTTAAGAATATCTAGGTGGACACAGAGCTGAGTAAAGAAACAGGCACCAAATACACTGCCAGTCTGTGGTATAACTTGAGGTTGAAACAAACGCATCCCAACAAATCATATTGTAACAATTTAACAAACATTAAAGGCATAGAAATACATACTTTGCTTTCTGTCTTATACCATGGACAAAAATTAATTTGTTGATCATAGGTATAAGTATTCATGCTAAAACTGGAAACTTTTTTCTAAGGGAATAAAAAGAAAATCAAATCACAGATTTAATACTCTTATCAGAACACATGAAACACAGTTTTAAAAAATCAGCAACAAAAAGTATCTGAATTAAAGCTGACAAGACTTGAGAAGACTCTTCACAAAAGAGAATATACAAATGCTCAATAGTGAGGTAGGCTGAAAAATATTTAAGATGACATGAGAAGGAAAAGAAATACCTCACCCCAGGATCTAGTTTGTGTTTCCTGCTGAGTGAGATTAAAATGTCCTCAACACAACTAAAATCAAGCATGCAGAGACCATATTTGTTTTTCTTAGAGACACTTCAAACAAGACTTAAAAGCCACAAAAGCAACCATGCTTTCTCAGGGCCAACGCATAGGACATCTGAGTCAGTGTTGTCAACTGCCCTCTAGCCAATAGGCTTGAACAGGGCTGCACACTTTGTAAACCCCCTTAGTTTTATATACAAAAGGAAATTCTTTAAGAGAAATAAGGAAATCTGCTCATATGCTTTCTTTATTATTTTCAAATTTCACTATTTTTGAACATGGTTGCAAATTACATTCAATGAGAAATGTAACTTCACAAAATCATAAATCTGGAGAAAGAATGCTTAAGGTCCTCTCCTCTCTCTCTCTCTCTCTCTCTCTCTCTCTCTCTCTCTCTCTCTCTCTCTCTCTCTCTCTCTCTCTCTCTCTCTCTCTCTCTCTCTCTCTCTCTCTCTCTCTCTCTCTCTCTCTCTCTCTCTCTCTCTCTCTCTCTCTCTCTCTCTCTCTCTCTCTCTCTCTCTCTCTCTCTCTCTCTCTCTCTCTCTCTCTCTCTCTCTCTCTCTCTCTCTCTCTCTCTCTCTCTCTCTCTCTCTCTCTCTCTCTCTCTCTCTCTCTCTCTCTCTCTCTCTCTCTCTCTCTCTCTCTCTCTCTCTCTCTCTCTCTCTCTCTCTCTCTCTCTCTCTCTCTCTCTCTCTCTCTCTCTCTCTCTCTCTCTCTCTCTCTCTCTCTCTCTCTCTCTCTCTCTCTCTCTCTCTCTCTCTCTCTCTCTCTCTCTCGGTGATCACCAAGCTAGCTCTAGTATGACAGAGTCTGAGGAGAGAGTCCTGAAACCACAGTCAGGTCTAGCTCTTGTCCCACCGCTGATGAAGCCCTTTCCTAGGTAACTGTCATCTACCTGGCAGGCCGGCCAGGGTGCCTTCTAGCCGGAAGTGGCTCACCTTCATTCCTGCCAGGCAGAGTGCAGCTCAGGAGCAGTGTGGCCAAGGTTGGGGGCTGGAGCCCCAGGCCAGGACACTGTGACGTCTCAGGTTCCTGACGTACGCACGTCTCTGTGGCTCTCTCCAGGCCAAGGGCTTCCAAACGGAATTTGAAGAAAGCGCATTGGGAAAGGGAAGGGGGGGAGGGAGAGGCTCAGAAAGAGGGTGGGATGAGGTGCAGCCGTGGTCAGGCCCCCATGGTGTCACAGGGGCAGCAAACACAGCGGTAAGAGGAGGGAGACCAGGGGATGGGAACAAGCAGCCTGGTTCACCACTGCTGTTAGCCACTTGCTGTAGAAGGCAACGTCTGTATAAACTCCAGGGTATCCACGGCGACCACAGCCGATGCCCCAGCTCACGACTCCCACCTGCACCCACTTATTATTAAGTTCGCAGGACAAAGGGCCGCCAGAATCTCCCTGAAGAAAAGACAAAGAAGCATATGGCAAGAATGGATCTGATCCCCCGTTGGATTAGTCTGAGGGCACTTGACGGCATGAGGGAGACAGGCTCATACAGGGTTCCCTCAGGCACCCCCAGAAGCCTCTCCAGAGCCGGGTGCAGTGACATAGGCCTATTGTATCAGCCCTAAGGAGGGTGAGGCAGGAGGGTTTCGGGGAAATCAAGCTACACACCAAGACACTGTCTCAGAGGAGAAGGGGAAAATGGAGAAGTGGTGGGGGGCGTCCTTGCCAGGTCCAAGTTTCTATTAACACACAAATGCTAGGACTAGGAATATAAATATGGCCACTAAGAAGTTAACGGGAACTTGATCATATCCTCTGAGGTTATTATCGTCTTTCTTGAGCCTCAGAGATATTTACCGCTGAATTCTACTCCTGAGGGGTTAAAGAGATGACCCCGTAGATAGGAACACTTGCTGCTTTTACAGAGGACCCCAGATTAGTTGAGAACACTCACATGGTGACCCACAATCACCTGTGACTCCAGTTCCAGGGGACCCTACACCCTCTATTGGCCTCTGTAGGCATTGCATGCACACGGTGCATACACAAGCAAAATGCTGACACACATAAAATAAAAATGTCTTTTTAAAATATGATTAAATATAACTTCTATGTAGTAGCTCCTAATTCCTTAATTTAACCCGAATTTTCTCTGAAGCTCCTAACCTATACCACAAAACCCTTCTACTATAGAGCCCATGGCTACACACTCTTCTCCAAGCCTGCCGCCACAGAGACCTGTCAGTCAATCGGTGAGAAACACATGGGCTTCTCTGGTGTCTCTTACCACCCCCAACCTAACATGAACTGATGATTTGACCCCAGACACTTTCCTCACTGATCAGTTGCCCCAGACCCTGCTCAGAACTCAATGGCATTTCCTACAATCTGAAGGCAGCAGTCCTGGAATTGCACATCCGAGGGAACCACGGAAGCAGAAAGGGAAATATGACCGTGCTCACCTGGCCCACTTCCCATGCCTGCCTGGGCCACTCTGGAAACTTGAGCACATTTGATATCCTATCCTAGTGCTCCAGGTATTTAAGACATGGCACCCCACCTCCAGTTCTGCGGAACAAACCTGGGGTGTCTTGTCCACTGAGCATGTTCATCATCTCTAAACTTAGAAATGGAGACAAGGCCTCACTACATAACCAAGACTCACTTCAAACTCACTATGTATCCCTGTCTAGCCTTGAACTTTTGATCTTCCTACCTCTACCTCATGAGTGCTGAGATTATAAGCATATACCACACACTTGGCCACCATAAAAAGTATACTCAGACCTCTGAATCCCTAAACATATCGTCCTCTGTCTCTAAAACAGATTTCACAAGAGGACTTTGAGTTCGTGTCTCCGGATTTCACCTTCCACAGTGGTATGGTAGATAATGACGTAATGCTGCAAGGTTGTAATGTAGCTTCGCTCAGTTAATACAGGTGGATGTTCCCTTTGTCATGGTAGCTGCCACAGAGGGTGTGTGTAGTGGTTTGAATGTAATTGGCCTCTCACAAAGCATGACACTATTAGGAGGTGTGGCTTTGTTGTAGTGCGTATGGCCTTGTTGGAGGAAGTATGCCACTATGGGGGCAGGCTTTGAGGTTTACTATGCTCAGGATACTGCCCAGTGTCTCAGTCAGCTTCCTGTTACCTGCAAGCCAGTATGTAGAGGGCACCACGTCTGCTTGCTCCCTTCCACGATGATAATGGACTGAACCTCTGCAACTGTAAGTGAGCCACCCCAATTGAATGTTCCCTTTATAAGAGTTGCCATGGTCATGGTGTCTCTTCACAGCAATAAAACCCTAACTAAGACATAGGGGAACTCACTGCAAAACTATTAGACTACCCATTCCCAGCTTTAACATCTAAACAAGAACCCTATGCAGTAGACAGGGCATGGTGGTTCACTCCTTCAATCCCAGCACTCAGGAGGCAGAGGCAGGCTGATCTCTGTGAGTTCCAGACCAGCCTGGTCTACAAGAGCTAGTTCCAGGACAGCCTCCAAAATAATACAGAGAAACCCTGTCTCGAAAAGAAAAAAAGGAAGAAAGAAAGAAAGAACCAGACCAGCTGGACAAGGTGGTGTGTCCCTGTAATCTCAATGTTTGGGAGGTTGATGTAAACAGATCTCAAATTTAAGGCCATCCTGTGCTACGCAGGAAGTTCAGGCAAGGTCAGCTCCAGGAGCCATGGGGAGTGTGGCTCTCCCCATGAATTTTCTTGAGTAAAGGAGGTGGCGAAAACTCGGACCTTGTCATGAGACTGAGGAGAGGGCCCATGAGCTTACCTGGCAAGCATCCTTCCCTTGCTCTTTGTAGCCACAGATCATCCCTCTCCTGACTAGGTCATTTGAAGATGATGTCACCCTCTTCAAAATCCTATTGCATTCATCATATTGGATGATATTCTGGTCCACCTCCCGGAGAGTATCTGTTGGAACGCTTGGCGCTAGCAAGGAAGATGAGAAGTATAAATCTTCACAACGGATAGCAAGCACTCAAGCACCCAGGGATGCCCCTAGACAAAGGTGGAGAAATAAGTATTGTCCCCATTTGACACAGGAGGAAACTGAGACTCAATACCACAGGGAGAGGATTGAGTAAGAGCCAAAACTGAGCCAGGCCTAATGGTACAAGTCAAGAAGACCAAGGGAGGTGAGGGCAGGAGGCCCTCAAGTGTGAGGCCTGCCTGAGCTACAGAGGGAGTTCAAGGTCACCTTGGGCCACTTAGCTAGAGTGTCTGAAAGCAAAAAGCAGAAAGGGCTGAGAAGACAGCTTAGCACCAGACCCTCCCTGGCATGTTTCAGGGCCTACATCCAATTCCCAGAACTTAGAAAAGCAAAGCTAAGACAGGGGAAGGATGGTATTCTGAAAGGGAAGCAAGGCCTCAGAGACCTAAGGAATGAGAACCGACCAAGCTCATTACTGAACGTCAGTAGTAACAGTGACAAGATAGCCTCTACATCTTTCTCTTTATGTTATTTTTTGTTTGCTTGTGGATGCAACTGAGGTCTTTATGTAAATCAGACTAGTCTCAAACTGTCCGTACTTCAGCATGTAACACCGCACCCAACCAATTTTCTTCACGCTCTAGAACAAAATCACAGGCTCTCAGAAAGATAGAGCCCTAAGGGTCATACGTGACTTCCTTTTCTCAGGCATAAGAGGTCTACCAACAGAGGCCTCTGGCTCTCCCTATTCCTCTAGGCATGAGGCACTCCCTAACTACTAGACAGGGATTTCTGCTGAGAAACTGACAGGCAGTTCATCGTCTCCTGAGATAAAAGTCACCCAAGGTGGATTAACTGCTGAGCTATCTCTAAGGTGTCCCTGAGAGATAGCTCAGCAGTTAAAAACACCCGTTATCGCCCTCCTCACCCCATCCTCAAGACAAGGTTTCTCTGTGTGGTCCTGTCTGTCCTGGAACTCACTCTGTAGACAAGACTGGCCTTGTACTTACAAAAGTGTGCCTCTGCCTCCAAAGTGCTGGGATCAAAGCCACCACTCCCTGGCTAAGAGCACTTGTTCCTGCAGAACACCAGGGTTCAGTCTCTCAGCACCTACATCGAGACTCACAACAACCCCCAACTCCAGCTCCAGAGGATCTGACACCCTCTTCTGAACTCTGTGGGCCACAGGCAGGCATTTGCTGTGCAGACATAAATACAGCCAAAACACTCGTGCACATAAAATGAAGTAAGTCTGAAAATCCCTCCCACCCCCCGGGAGAATTCCAGTGCATCTAGCCTTTGTCCACAGGGAATGCAGCAATACCCATAGTCACTTAGCGCATGTCTCCACAAAACTGCAAGGAGACTTGACACAATTCTAGTTCCCAGGAGAGGTACGTTTGGCTCCCATCAGATATTTGTGTCGCAGTGAGTGACGGCAACACAAGGCAGGGATCACCTGAGCTCACCAAACCGCCCGTCACCCTGCGACAGGTAGTCTGCCTCCCTTTCTGCCCCTCCCATTATCCTTTTTATTTTTCTACTTTAGGAATAAGGCCTCGCTTCCTCCTGAGCACAAACTCTTACCACCGGGGTCTGTTTTGCCCCATCCGGTCACCCAGCACTTGGTCCCCGTTGCCACAAAGAAGCCCTCTGGAGGGATGCAGATGGGGTAGATGTTGGAGGTGAAATTCACGGGGTGCTGGAGCTTCAGAAGGGCGATGTCATTCTTAACAACAATCGCCGATGAGAAATGGGGGTAGACAAAGATGCTCTGGATGGGAACCACCAGGCTTGTGTTTTCGTGGTAGACACTCCGATCGCCCATCTTGACATTGTACTGGATCCGGCTGTGGGGGAAAAAAGCCACGCTACCTCAAGAGCCCTGATCCTACAAAGCTCTCTTCATCCTTCCCACCCCTCTTCTGATTCTCAACATGGCCCCAACCTCTGCTGCCACTCTGGACATTCCGTCTCTGTCACCAAAACCCCTTACTGACCTCCAGCTGCGTCTCCCGTGCCCCACCTTGGGTGTTTCTTAGTAACAAGGTGGCCATAGCATGCCCCCCTCCCCTTTTTCTGCATCTTGTATCAGAGAGGCAGCCCAGGACAGCGGGGTCCCCTCCAGAACACCCACCACTCATCTCTCCTCACCTGTAAATGCAGTGAGCGGCCGTCAGCACCCACTGGGCGCTGATAAGGGAACCTCCGCAGACATGCATGTGTCTGACCCGGACGCTCACCTGCCAGGGCCACTTTCCCTCTTGAGCCTCCTCTCCTCCCATGATTTTCACTAAGGGCTGGCCACAGCCTGCGGGAGGACAATTTGGAAAGAACTCAGAATTAAGTTGATGCCAGCGGTTCCACAGAAGGCCCAACGACAGCAGGAGGGAGGCTACGCGTGCCCTGTTGAACACCAGGGCTCGCCCTCAGAGCTGTGTCACACACTCCCCATGCCAGTCACATTCCCCTCAGAAGCCGCAGGCCAGGCAGACAGACTCTACCCAACAGCGGCCGGGGCTGAACCGGTGTCTCCCGGATTCAGGGTGTCACTAGCTCCCACTCCGGGCCCTGGCACAGTCCTCCCCTGGTCACAGTCAGCCCTTCACAAGTTACCTAAGGTAAACGGCTTGAAAGTAGAAGATTGAGCCTGATGGGCCGTCTCGGTCACCAGCGCCTGCGTGGGAGGCGGTGGGTCTACCCCTGGGGTCTCGCTGTGCGATGAGGAGAAACCAGAAGTAGAGAACACAGCTGCAGCCAGGCAGACTCCGCAGAGCTCTGACTGGAGCAGCAGGAGGCAGGCCATGAGGCCCAAGGAGCCACCTCGGGACGCCATGCCACCACGCAGGACACCGCCCTTCTCCCGGTAAGTGGCACCGGCTCCCCAGGCTCGCGGGGCTGCCCTCGGTTCCGTCGGAGAAACGGAGAAACGGGCTCCTCGAAGGGAGGCGCCAGGGCGTCAGAGGCGGCGAGGGAGGGTCGTGGCTTCCTGGGTGGGAAATGTGTTCTTGCTTACACCCAGATCTTCACGCCACACTGTGCACACCCAGAGCCCTGTCTGGGACAGAGGGGACAAACGTCCTTGATGGAGACCCCCCCACACTTCAGGAATGGCACTTCCTGCGGGGCCTGAGGTGGGAATGGTAAAGGACCGCGACTCTGGGAATAAGACGGGAAGCCCAAAAGGCACCTCAAACCGAGATCCAGTCACCAGTCTTAGACTTGTAGGTTATTCTTCTATCTCAGTCATAGGACAAGCTGATACTAAATAGCAATGTCCGGGCCTGGAGAGATGGCTCAGTGCTTAAGGGCCCTCGATGCTCTTGCAGAGGACTGGAATTCAAGTACCAGCATCCACATAAAGAGGCACACCATTCCTAACTCCAGTTCTGAGGACCCAGTGCCCTCTTCTGGCCGCTGTGGGCACCAGGCACGCACAGACCAACATACAGGCAAAAACAGACAAATAAAATAAACATCAACATATTTTTTTAAAAAACCAGCCACCACCAAAGATACCTGTAAGTCAATCCTTTCTTACTACTCTATGTCCCTGATGTGTTCTGTAGTAACTCGTGATTTTCTCTCTGTAACCCAGATGCTCTCTAGGTCTCTCCCTCTATGAGCACGTATCATCATCCCCGTTGAAGTGGGAAAACCGAGGGCCTGTCTGTGTGTCTCACGCTTCCCCATTGGAAGGAGTAGAGCCATCAGGTTTTTCAAGGATGATCAATTTATTTTTTAATGTCTTGGGCAAGGGGCACGTTCTTTAAGATGCTCTTCAGTCATAAGAAGAGGGGGCAATGAGGTCATACCTCATGAATACATCCCAATAATTGCACCCCCACCCACCAGAAAAGCCTCTGCGCTCAATTCTCCCCCGTTGGAGACAGGGTCTTATGTATGCGGAGAAGCCTCTCTGCTGTGGAATAACCCTTCTTCCACTGTGAGGACGTGTTGCTCTCATTGTTAATAAAAAGCGGATAGGCCCATAGCTAGGCAGGATTTTCAGGGCAGAGAGAATGGTGGGAAGGAGGGGGTGGAGTTGGAGGAGGGGACAGGAGACGCAGAGCAGGATGGGAAGGATGCATATGAGGTGGATGGCCCTGTGGCAGCACACAGATAATGGGTTAAATTAAGCTGTAAGGGCTAGCTAAAACCAAGCCTACGCTGTTGGGTGAGCATTTATAATTAATATTAAGTCTTGTGTGGTTATTTGGGGAGCAGCTGGTGGGACAGAGCTAATCGGTGGTCTAGATGGAAAACTCCACCTACACTTCTTGACTCTCTATATAGCAAAAAAATGACACAAACCTTCACATCCTCCTGCCTCCACCTCCCAAGTATGGGAACTACAGGCATGTATCACCACATGAAGCTTATGCAGGGAGATAAAAACAAAACAAAAAAGCAGGGCTTTGTGCTCCCTAGGCAAGCACTCTTACCAACCGATCAAAGTCCCAGCCCAGCAAGCAGCTTCTGACACCTTCTGTTTGGTGCCCAAGTGTGGGCTATTCTTCAGCTTAGGTTTGAAACAGCTCCAAAAGTGTGGACCAACAAACTCCTAATCTGGGCTCAAGCATAGCTAACCAATAGTGCTTAAAAACCTCGTAAATTCTCTTAGTGAGGCTTTGTGAGGAAGCTCTTACCCGCTGCCTTATGCTTTGCACTGGCCCTGCAGCATGCTGGGAACTGACGTAGTGGTTAGGTTCAGAGACGGTGAAGACTGAAACAGCACAGGCACAGAGTGCCACTCTATAATAGCAAACCTTCTCCAAGTAAAGCTAAAGAAGGCAAGAGGTGACAGATGAGTCAGGAAGCTGATGCTTCCATTAGCATGAGAGGGTCGCTGTGGCTGGGAGTCAGGTGTCCCCATCTGAATTATTTTCCCATCCAGTACCTTATTTTCATGTAAGAATTCTCACGGAGCTGTTAATCTATATCGAAACGGAAGCAGCCCAGATGAAACACTGCAGTTTATGTCAAGTACACCAATGGCACAATTGTAAGAAACATGAAAATACTTCAGAATCTCTTAGCTATAAGGTTAAAAATCATAGAACCTTTCAACCCAAGAGGTTAAGGTTAGAGATTCCCAGTCAAACAGCTTAGAGTATGAAGGTACTTGCTGTGCAAATCCTACCACCTGTAATCCCAGATTACCCACATTAGAAGGACACACCCACTCCAAAGAGTTTCCCTATGGACTCCACACGTAGCCCTGTAACACACACGGGCACACACACACACACACACACACACACACACACACACACGTATACTGGGGTTTGAACCTAGTACCTCATGTGTGCTAGGCAAGTACTCTCCACTGCTGAGCTATAACCTGTATCTCTGGCCCAGTGAATTATCTTAATATATAAAAGACAGAGTGTGGCCTACTGCAAGACTTTAGAGCGTCTAGGAGCAACAGATCCCAAGTAAATTTGCACCTTTCCTAGGCCTTTCTTCACAAACGTTCACCAAGTGTTTATGAGAAAGATCAGAGGCAGAGCAAAGGACCAAGGAAAGCCTTGCTTATAATGTGGATTAAGGGAAGGCAAGCAAAAGTCAAGCCCTGCGGAAGGAATGAAGTCAGTCTCAGAGCCTTACACGTCTTTTCTCATCCCCCCCCAGGAAAGTCTTGTGCTAAGAGGAAGGAGGGTCAGAAGACTGACTTTGGGGACCTGGGTCAAAGCATATGGTAGCTGGATGAAGACAGCATAAGATGGCCCATGCTAGGGGAGACCCTATCCTTATCTGCCCCAAACAAGTACCTGCCTAAGTGAGGGTGGCTCTTAGAAGTACACACACACACACACACACACACACACACACACACGCACGCACGCACGCACACACACGCGTGCGCGCACACACACACACACACACACACACCCTAGCAAGTGTCCAGGAATAAGTAACAGCAATCTACTGCTGTACTGCTGGCCGAGAGGTTTACAAAAATGGTTATAGAGAAACAACCTCTCCGAGGCATAGGCACAAAGAGAAACCCAGTAACTGAAAAGGAAACAGACACCAAGCAAAACTCAATAGCTCTCCACCTACCAGTATAATAATAACATTAGTAAACATTAGAAGAATTTGATACCTGTACACATGAGAGTAACCATGGCAATCACGGTCTCATCTGATTTTCTCATTCTTTCCACTACAGAAAAGGGAGTGTGGTTCAGTGGTGAAGCACTCACCCCACCTGTAAAACCTCAGCACCACAGGGAAGGGAGAGAGGAAAGGGAAGAAGAGAGGGATGGAGGAAAGGGGAGGGAGGGAGAAAGGAAGAAAGGAGGGCAGGGAGAAAGGAAGGGAGGGAGGGAGGAAAAAGCTAACTGACTGGAGATGCCTACACACACAAACAAAAAACAAAAAAAGAACCAAAACTATGAATAAAGAACTATATCTCAGGCACAGTAGTACATACACACCTTTAATCCCAGCACTTGGGAGGCAGAGGCAGGCAGATCTCTGTAGATTCAAGGCCAATCTGATCTACATATTGAGTTCCAGGACAGCCAGAGCTACAAAGTGAGACCCTGTCTCAAAAAAAAAATAAAATAAAATAAAACAAAACAGAAACAAAAAAGAAAAGGCTGCAGTTCTTTTAAAAACGTCGTTAGTTAACATGGAGAATTGGTTTACTTACTCTGGTATCACCACGCATGTGCAGTTAGCATGGAAAATTGTTCACTTACTCTGGTATCACCACGCATGTGCAGTTAGCATGGAGAATTGATTCACTTACTCTGGTATCACCACGCATGTGCCATGGTGCTTGGCTCTCATCACCATGCTGCCCTCCGCCCTTCCTGCTTCCCAGTTCTTGCGAATCCCTTCCAACCCGCCGTATTCCATAGTCACTCTTGTCTTCATGTCCTCTGTGTACATCTGCTTAAATCAAGATTCCGCCTACAGGAGAAACCAGGATACTTTGTCTTTCTTCTCTCCTTTACCCTCTTTTTTTTCTTTAGTTATTATTGTTTTGTTTGTTGTTATTTGTTTGCTTGCTTGCTTTTTGAGACAGGTTCTCACTACAGAGCCCTGGCTGTCCTGGAACTCACAATGTAGAGCAGACTGGCTTCAAACGCAAGATTCTGCCTGCCTGTGCCTCCCTAGTGCTGGGATTAAGGACGAGACCACCACGGCTAGCATCATCTTGACTCATCTCGGAACCAGAGTCACTGGCAGAGAGCATTCTACTCCACAATGCGCTCACACCACATCTCTCCGTCTGTGGGATACTGCCATCATGACACCACACCCACACAAGCTGCAGTGTCCTAACCCTGGATACTCAGAGCTTAGACCCAGAGGAATCACCCTGGCCTGTGAGTCCATGAGACATCAAGTTAACACGTCACCAAAGGAACACCAAAGTTCCCAATAACTAACCCCAGAAAAAAGGAAATTTATCAATTACCTCAAAAGGAATTCAAAATAATTATCTTTAAGAAATTCAGCAAGTACAGACAATACAGACAGATAACATAATCAGAAGAATGATTCAATGATTCATTTCATCAGAGTGAGATAGATGTTATGAAAACAAACCAAGGAGAAATACTGAAACAGAAGAATTCAACGAATTAAACAACCACAAACACACAGAGAGATCCAAGGATTTCAGTCATAGTTGGGGTCTAGCAGAATAAAGAGTTTCTGAATGTGAAGAAAAAGGCCCTTTGACGTAATTCAGAGGGAATCTCTTTTTTGGTAAGATTTATTTTTTATATATACAGTGTTCTGTATACATATCAGAACAGAAGAGGATATCATATCCCTTTACAGATAGTGTGAGCCTCTATGTGGCTGCTGGGAATTGAACTCAGGACCTCTGGAAGAGCAGCCAATGCTCTTAACCTCTGAGCCATCTCTCCAGTTCTTCCAGAGAGAATCTTGGTATGGTGGCACATGCCTGCAATCCCAGTGCTCAGGGGGAAGCTGGAGGAAAACTGTCAGCCTGGGCTACAGTAATGAGTGCCAGGCCTGCCTGGGCTAGACAATAAGACCTATCTCAAGAGAAAGAGGTGGGAGGGGGCCCGAGGAAATGGCTTAGTTAGTAAAGTGCTTACAAAGACCAGAGTTCCATCCACAGAAGTCATCTCAAAAGAAAAAGTAATTAACATGGCAGCACACATTGTAATCTCAGCACTGAGGAGACAGACACATCCCTGGGACTCACTGGCCAATGACTCTACTCTGATTGGTGAGCTCCAGGCCAATAAGAGATCCTGTCTCAACAACTAAGTGGATAGCCCATGA